CCACTGGTCATTGAAAGACACTTTTAGCTTGGAAAACCTGTATTATATGATTTTCTACCTGTACTGTGGCTTTATCGTGTACTTGATGAAGGGCCACGGTGTGTGAAATGATGTATAATAAATGTTTTCCATTCTAAAAGTGTCCATGAAATTATCACTTGCCGGTATGCTCGTGTCTACCTTCTACCACCGTCCTCTGTCCAGGTTCTCCATTTTCCAAAGAGGAAAATGGAGAACCTGGTAGACACCTGGTTCAGCGCAAACCTTCATTACAGACCACGTCTGACAAGTCATACAAGAAATAAATACCTAAATATGACACGTCTACGTTATATATAATGAAGGTTGGGTCCGCAACTATATATTTACGTCATACTTGTAGGCAATACCTGCCACCCAGTAGTACGTACCACTACGCCCTGTACTGAAGCCTACAAATAAAGCTTCGTTAGTTTGTGTGGTATGCCATAATAAAGCTTACAAGCCTCGTTAGGTAATTACGGTATACAATAATTGGCTTCATTACAAACCCTTACTCGTAGAAGAACATTTTTTAAATTATTTAAGACCTAACCTAAAATAGTGTATATTAAGAATTTGCCTTAATTTCATACAGTACAAAGAACAACGTTGTGAATATGGAGGACCGGTTGGTCATTACAAGATCTCCTCCGTTTTGTACTCACGAGGCTTCCATTTTGAAAAAAAAAATTCGCACAGGATCGCGCTGAATCACGTCTACGGTTATCAATCCCAGGCGAAACAAGTCTCAATAACGTCTTGCTCTGTATTACGTGCCTCGCTGTCTTGGGAGATGTTGACAGGAATATATTTCCCCCTACATTAACGGAGTATAATACCAACAAGTCGATGGATTAGATACATGTGCAACACTCGGGTATCTTTATCCTTTTTTATTCAAAACAGAGATGCCCAGGTATTACACAAATATCTAATTATCCTTATAATTCCCTCTAGATTTTCTCTCAGATGTTAGTGTCCCTCTGGAGTACTGCCACCGCTCCTCACCACACGGAGGAGTCTCGTCATAATTATATTATTATTGTATTTAGGGCGAAGCGCTAAAACCGTAGAGATATTCCAGGGCCTGGTGGGGATGGGGGGATTAAAGGAAAAGCAATTATGTTCAGTCCAAGAAAGGGTGAAGTTCAAGTCCAATTCCTTGTATTAGCAGCTCCTGACTAGCATCAAGGCACCTCCCTACAGGGCGGTTCAATCCTGTCACTCTATATACAGTAGTGTTGAGTACCCTTCAACACCCAAGTCTCTTATCTACTCCAATCGCTATGTTATTTTAAATTAGCATTTGCTACTTTATTTTGTGTCAACACATTTTACTCCGAATATATGAACATTTTCATGGCTACTTAATTTATTTTTAAATAGTATAAATGCACTTACATTTAATTAATATCTACACGTTTTCATGGACAACTATCTTGCTTTAAATTATCTACTTATTTTCTTGGACAATTATTTTATTTTTAAATTGCATCTCAACATTACATTTTTAGTAAGCCTAGAGACGCTTCCTTAAACGAACAGGATTCGAACCCACACCAGCAAACTAGTCTTACAACATGGAGGCTGGACAATTAATTGATTTTTAGCATCTGTGCATTTCAGAGACAACTTTTCTAATTTTAAATTAGCATCTATACAATTTCAATATTTTCGTCACTGATAACTATTTTCTGACATCAGTGCTGTCCTCTCAAGCTCTAATGCCGATAAACCATACCCCCGGCCGGGATTGAACCCGCGGTCATAGAGTCTCAAAACTCCAGCCCGTCGCGTTAGCCACTAGACCAGCTAATGCCAATATTCCTAATGTATATAACTCAATCCAGTTCAACATTTTTCTAGTCTTCAAAATTAATTTTAACAACGCACTGTTTAATACACAGGATATATACACCGAGAAGTATATTGCAGTAAGCGTATATATGCCGAGTTTACTTTAATCCCTATTTAAGGGACCTAAGCATTCTTGTCTGGTGGTGAAACGATCCCCGGCATGGGTGGAAACGTTTACCTAGTAGTAAAAAGGTACCTGGGTGTTAGTCGACTGTTGGGAGTCGCATCCCAGAGAAGGTGTTAGCATGTATTAGAACTGGACTTGAAAATGAGCTGAGGTAGGAAAACAACTATTAACCTGTAGCTTCAAATGTGTAAAACAAAAAAGTTTGTGCAGCCTTAATGACTAGGTTAGTCAATAGGCTTCGAGCCCCATTAACCAAGCATGTTTAATACTTTTATCTTGTTCTATTATTACAGCACTGAAATTTAATATCTGTTATTCTCAGAAAGGTTAAGTTAACGTATATTAACCTATATTTGCGTATAATTCACAGACAATAACGATATAACAAAAACGGCAGCTTACGTTTGGCACCGCAAGACGTGTCCTAGTACATGAAAAACGTTGGTAACCTCATGCACGCTAAAAAAAATTGAACCCGGTAATCCTGAAATCTAGAAATATTACAATATATAAATCCTGAAAGCTAGAACAGTGAAATCGAGCGGTTCTGGAATTCAGCAATCCTGGAGTCATGTAATCCAGAATTCTACCAATGAATCTAAATACTCCTCGACTCCAGTATCATGAAATTTAGTATTCATTGACTCCATTAATCCTGGAATATTGGAACAATTTGCTCCACTAATCTTGGAATCATCTACTTCAGTAATCCTGGAATCAGACTCCAGTAATTCTGAAATCTTCGAGTCACTGACTCTAGTAATCCTGGAATTTTGGTATCAGTGACTCTAGTAATCCTAGAATAATTGACTCCAATAATCTTGGAATCTTGGCATCATTGACTCCATTAATCCTGGAATCTTAGAATAAATTACTCCGGTAATCCTGGAATCTTGGAATGACTCCAGTAATCCTGGAATAATTGACTCCAGTAATCCTGGAATAATTGACTCCAGTAAATTCTGGAATAATTGACTCCAGTAAATCCTGGAATCAATGACTCCAATAATCCTGGAATCAACGACTCCAATAATCCTGGAATCTTGAAATCACTGACTCCAGTAATCCTGAAATCTTGGAAGCATTACTTCTGAGTAGGCTTTATCCTTGACTTAAATAAAGGAAGCTGAAAGGCGTTCAGTCTCACAGGACTGTAGACTCATATCTGTTGACAGAGTGCATACACTTGCTATTGGTGAACAGGTATACACAGCAGGTGTATGTACACAGGTGTGCAACAAGTGAATGTATATGCAACAGGTGTAAATAGCTACCCAGCAAGTTCATGTATACAGGTGTATGTATACAGGTATATATACACATCAGGTTTATGTACATACATCAGGTTTATGTACATACATCAGGTTTATGTACACACATCAGGTGTACGCATTGTGACCGGTGTATGTGAACTAAGCAGGTATATGTACACACAGATTAGGCATGTACGCAGGTGTAGGCATTGTATATACACAACTCAGGAGTGTGTCTACACAGATTAATGCAGACACAACAGGTATATGTACACACAACAGAAATATGTGCACACGTGTACATACAGTACATGTATGTTCACACAGAAGTTTTACATACACATATAGGCGTATGTGCACACACGTAGGCACATGTGCACACACGTAGGCACATGTGCACATAGCAAGTGAACGTACACATAGCATGTGTAAGTACACGCACGCATGCGTATAAACACCAGATGTACGTTCACACATCAGTACTTCTTGAATCAGACATTATGTACGCACAACAGATGTACGTACACACAGTACTCCCTGAATCAGGCGTTACGTAAACACAACAGGTATATGTACACACTACTAATTGAATCAAGCGTATGTACAGGCAACAGGTGCATGTACATACAAGGTGTATGTAAACAACATGCATACGTACACACAACAGCTGCACGTTCACAAGCAAGTTTACGCATGCAGGTGTAGATAAAAGATAGCGTTGCTTGTAGCTAAATGCAGCGATAATAAGACTGCAAGATTGACAGTGCATAAATGATAGATGGCAGGATAGAAAATGCGGTGTAGAATGACTGCAGAATAGACAACGAACAGGATAAAGGATAGACCGTGCAGAATCGAGTGCGCCATTGTGCAGGACAGAAAACATGATAGTACATACAGCATAGTCAGAGTACAGGAGAGACAACGTATTAGGAAAGATTGAGTACAGGACTGGCAGAAAATAAGACAGGCCAGAGTAGAAGATAGTGTGTGTGGGGGGGGGAGAGTGTGCAGGATAGAGTACAAGTTCGAGTGCAGGGTATGCGAGGGTAGCAAGGCGGTGGTACCGGGCCGTGAGGCAGGCAGACTAGACAAGCTAGGCCCCGGGCCCGAGCTAGGTCCTGGATCCTAGCTACCTATCCTAGCAAAGTAAGAGGTGGTGACTGAGGTGGTGGAGGGCTAGGCTGCCATATGCTGCTGGTCCAGCCGCGATGCTGCGTACCTCTCATTATTTTTCCTTCACTCCGATACCGCTTAATTGTACCTGCTCGGGGCCGCCATTTGGATGGCTCTTATATTAGCGTTTAAATCTCCAGGCTGGCCGGGGCCGGCGCCAGCCACCGCACGCGCCTTCCCTACACTCTCATCTCCACTCATACGCTCAACTCGAGCTCTAGCTGGCACCGCTGCCGCCGTTAGTATCACCGCCGCTGAAATATTCCGAGTGCCAAAAAAGAGGTGGGTCTGGTCCATGCCCTAGGGCAGCGAGGAGGGCGAGCGAGGCTAAGATGCTGCTGGACCAGCAACACTTGTTCCTCAACACACTGCAACACAGCCTGTGTGGCCGTGAGGCGTGCCTCAGGTGTTGCTGCTGCCCTGGCCCCCACCAGGTGTCACCCAGGGGGGAAGCTGTGTAGTGTATGTGTGCGAGATAAAGCCAGAGCTCAGGTGCATCACAACCCAGTAATTATTCATCTCCACCTAACTACAGGTAAAACTCTAAAACACTCGGGGATTCTCACCTCGACACGACCAGTCCATCCATGGGTGCAGCAGTAAATAATCCAGAAATCAACACATATCACTATTTAAGCTTATAAATCCACTTTTAATTGGGTTTTGCACTAATATCACTGTACCCGGCCGCCGCACACACTCCCCCGACCATCTCACAACTCTGACTGACTGGCCAACACCTCGAGTACTCCAGCGCCGGGATGAGAGCAGCGCAGGGGATGAGGAACCAAGCCAAGACGCTCTTCAAGATTATTTTATTTCATCACTTATTCTCTATATCCTCGCATACCAGCGTTCACTTCGTTTTCAACCCACCATATGTACACCAAAAAGTAGCAGGAAAACATACCTTTCTCAAATTCTCATCTCCTGGAGGGATTATTGAATGTTCCGTCAGGGCAGGTATGCCCAGACTCCCTGCCCCTTCGTACCTCCATGCCATATCACGTGACTTCTACCCGAGCCAAAATTGTTGATACTTGATAATTAATACCTTCCAACAGCCACTAGCCAATGGACTTGAGTGATCCAAGGGTGAAGTGTATGTGGGTGCCCATGAGGGGAGGTGAGGGGGGAGCTGAGTGTGTATTGGGGAGGGGGAGACGGGGCATTCACAGTGGCTTCTATTACTGATGCCACCGCAGTAACCACATGGTTATCGTCTGTACGGTTTGCGTTATTGGTGCACCCTGTATGTGTGCGTATATGTGTGTATGTGTGCGTATATGTGTGTATGTGTATGATATACAAACTTGATGCAATAAAACGACTATTTGATTAAGAATTCTCCCAAAATGTTGATGACCGTGTTTTTGAACCCCCGTTCAAAGTGCAGTAAATTTATTTTGGGATAATTGGAAAAAGTCTTTAACTAAGATTACAGCAACATACATATAACATTGAAACTTGGTAAATGTCACATAGTTTGTTTATTCATGCTAGAGATTTTTTACCACCATATTGATTCTAAAAATGTAAAAAAAAAAAATTATAGCATGCAAATCTATGGCCGAAATATAATAAGAATCGAACTTCATAAAAAACAGTACTCTTTGCATTGTGAATATATGAGCCCAGAATTTTATAAATTATTTAATTTATAATGGAGAGAATTTGTGAGTATTACATGCTAACCTGTCACTCTTAAATTTTACCTGACATGTGACCTGACCTAAAAAAAACAACAAGGGAAAGGAATTCCCACGCTCATTGAGTGGGATCATATGTGAGGTCACATGAGAAGTTGCTTATATTTCAGCTTTATAAGTCTTCTGTTGTCTTATTGTTTTTACTGTTTCCTACTACTGTTTTTTACTGTTGTTATGGTGCATGATAATATATCATGTATTTCCTGTGATCATACTGCATGTGCATGTATATACACTCTGAATTTGTTTCTGAATTCGCTTAACAGTGCTTGCTAACTAAATTGTTTGCCATCTTAATGACAGTATAAGTAACTTATGAAACTGAGCTTGACTTCAGTAATTACCGATTCTATGTCATCACTAGGGAAAGCTGACTCATAATGACTTAACACAATCATTGGCGAAGTCAGGTACAGATACTCAAAAAATCAAAGAAAGGGAATTAATGTACAGGTTTTTATGGATTCCATCACACACTGAATTACTCCTTCATGATAAGTTAATAAGTTAGTCAAAGAAAGTACCCTGAGAAACATGCAGAACATAACTTTGGTATATCTTTGTCTACCATTCGGAATAATATTAGAAGTAAGCAATAAAAGTGAATGTCAAAAGAATGCAGTTAGAAACCTGAGTAGATCTATTCTCACTATGATAACATGAACGTAAATAAGTACGTTTATGGAGCAGCTTGTAATGAGAACAGAGTGACTGATGCTGTAGTAGTCTAGTCAGGCTTATTCTTGATTACAGGTACTTTTGGCAGTTTGACACACACCTGATGATCAAAGTAAATGTAAAGTATGTGATCAGCCTTCTAGTCACGTTCCTGAACACTATGAGCTTGATTGTCCACTTGCTGAGGAATATCGAGATAGTCTAATAACCTCTGCGAAATATCAATCTATCTTATTAATGAACACGAGACGCCAGACATATTAAGCAAATATCAAATTTTACTTGCAACAGATAAGACAATTGTAGATACAAAATTTGATGTGCTCCAATTACTAACCTCTTCTTCTATATTAATTACTTAAAAAAAGTAATTTCAAAGTTGGGTTGTTTGAACATGCATTGGTGTAATACTGAAGATCAGGAATAATGGAGTGTTCATTTTATGAATGAAATGAAGCAGGATACGCTAGCACTAAGAGAAACAAGACTAGATGGAATGGAAGAATTTCAATGAGGTAGGAGAAAATGAGGTAAATTTGGTATGTCTGGGAGAACTAAAAATGAAGGAGTAGCGATGATATTGAATGATCAAACGTGGAATGGAAAAAAGAAAAAGAGCAGAAATATTTAAATTCATGTATTAAATGGATTAGGGTAAAAGTGAGAAGTGATAAGTAAACAGAAGCAGTTTATGCACCAGGTGAGGGGAGTGGAGAGAGTGAGATAAATTGTGGTAGGTAATAGGGAAATTTTCAGGGAGTTTTGAATACAATGAATGAATAATTGCTGTGGGTGATCAAAATACTAAAGTGGAACAAACTGCTGTATAGGGCTTAATAAGAAGTTTGGAGTACCAGGGGTAAATGTTTATGAATTTCTAACTGAATTACAAGTAGACAGAGATTTGGTAATAGGTAATACTTAAGGCAAAAACATTAAGTTGACGATATATGAAGAAGTGCGCAGTGACAGTCGTTTGCTGTATTATGTATTGGTGGTTAACAAGGTGGGAAGACTACTGGACGTGCATGTTTTTAAAATATCAACTAATATGTCAGATAATTATTTAATGGTAGCTACAGTACGAGTAAAAGGCTGCTGGAGTACAAGGAGAATGGCATCAGTGTGTAAAAGTATAGGAAACAATGGGAGACATAAACAACTGTGAGTAGAAACTTGGAATAAAGAGTACAGATAATGAGGAGGTCACAGAGGTATGGGTAGATCTAAGAATGCAGTACCAAAGTGCACCATAAAAGTTTGTGAGTATTGGAGGGTGGGTACGGGTAACACGAGGAATGATTGGTGGTATGATGAGTTAATGTCTTTAGGGTGGTAAGTGAAAAAAAAGTTAGCATATGATGGGGCTTCATAATGTAAAAATTATATATATAATGAAGAGTATGTGGAAAGGATAAGAGAGGTAAAACGAGTACAGAAAGATTGTAATAGAAGAGTCATTGAGAGAATGAGTCTTTAAATATTAATAATTATTATCATTATTGCAATCGTAAACAAAACCCGTATGGATCATACAGCTTGATGAGAATAAGAAACGGTTTTGCATCTATGTCCTTTTACCTAACAAGATGGGAAAACCTGGAAAGCAAACTGATTCGTCAATTAATGAGAATATGAATATTATTAATATAATCAAAACAAAGCACTAAACCTACAAGGGTCATACAGCGCTACAGGGCAGGGGTTCTCGTGATCAAGGAGCAGCTAGGTGGAGAGGAGAACAGAGGTAGAGATATAAAGAAGCTGTGAGGAGCATTAAAGGAAGTATCATCAAAGTTTGTGTAGTAAATCAGTTGCTGTCAAAAAGTCAGTGAAGGAATCCGTGACAAAGGCGGGTCCATCAGCAAGGAGGGAAGATAAAGTAAGGACGTAGAGCGGTAACGACGTCGGAGGTAAATTCTGCGCACTCGTTGATAGACCGGACAGTCCAATAGAATATGGCCAACTGAAACTGGAACCTGACAATTCTCACAGAGTGGAACAGGGCGCTTCTCCATGAGATACCCATGAGCAAGCCGAGTGTGCCCGATGCGATGATGGGAGTGTAGTCTCCCAACCTCGACATCGATGACAAGAAGATGGCCAGAAACCTAAACTTGGCTTGATAGAATGCAATTTGTTAAGTGTTATATCAGTTGTCGTATCAGTGTTGTATCAGTTGTTATATGTTGTCGTCAACAGTTGCGAAGGTGGTTAGAAATTACAACAAAATAGTCCGTGAATGGAACGCTTCTATATGAAACTAAGAGTTCATGTACTGCTGACCGTGCAGCAGTGTCTGCCTGTTCATTGCCCTGAACGTCAGCATGACCAGGGACCCAACAGAAAACAATATCTTTGTTGTTGTTAGAAATGCGGTGTAACCAAAGTTGTATATGAAGAACCAGGGGATGAGGTGCATCAAATTTGTTAGTAGTTTGCAAATCTATTAAAAGGAAGTCTGAGACTATTACAAATGGCGAGACAGGATAGATGCAATACGGATAATTACTACGAGAATTGCATACAATTTAGCTGTAAAAATGCTGGCCGAGTCTAATAAATGCTAAGGACACATCCCTGGGGGATATGTCCTTAGCATCACCCTCAGTTTTTACAAAGTCCGGGGAAAGCAGATTATTAACCCAAATACAGAAATGTCTCTCAGAGGTTCTTAAGGAAAAATGGCAGGTTCCCTTGGAGGCCTAAGGAGTGAACCTGGGCCAAAATGTTATATCTCCAAGTAGTGTCATATGCCTTCTCAAGATCAAACAGAATGGCAATATGGCATTATGAACATACGTATCTAAACGGAGTAAGAGGTCAGTAGTAGAAAGGCTCTTACGAAAGCCATATTGACTAGTGGAGAGATTATTGTGTGTCTCTAAATACCACATTAAATGTCTATTTAGCAGATGTTCCTTCACCTTGCAAACTGCACTGGTAAGAGCAATGGAACTATAGTGGAAGGCATCAAGTCCTGAAGTACCTGGTTTACGAAAAGATAGAACAATGGCAGATTTCCATCGCTGGGGAAGAACTCCTTGCAACCAAATAAGATTAAATAGACGTGAGAGGACAGAACAAGCTGACAGATATAAACCATACCCCCGGCCGGGATTGAACCCGCGGTCATAGAGTCTCAAAACTCCAGCCCGTCGCGCTAGCCACTAGACCAGCTAGCCACAATAAGATTCATCCAACTAGGTATATTTGCAAACCATAGGAAAGTTAGCACAGGCACCTCTGTGACCACAAATGCAAGTTTTTACAGACGAATCTCCAGCTAGCGTGGCCGTGACGAACTCTAGCTCAAGTCCCTTC